ATCGCCGACGACAGCGATCGTCACCCTCAACGATCCTCCTCCTCAACGATCCTCGAGGATCATTCACGTGAGGATCATTGAGCCCGATCCTCGGCGTCAACGATCCTAGGCGTCAACGATCCTCACCTCCAACGATCCTCGAGATCGTTGAAGGTGAGCATCGTTGAGCGTGAACATTGTTGGTGTCTACAATCCTTAGCGTCAACAATTCTTAGCGCCAACAATCCCCGGCATCGACGATCCTCAAGCTCAACGATGCTCACCCTCAACGATTCTCGACAATGATCCTTGAGGGTCGCTGAGGGCGAGGATAGTTGAGGCCTATCCTTGACGCCAATGGTTTTTGGCGTCAACGATCCTCGGCATCAACGATCCCCGGCGACAACGACCCTCACCCTCAAAGATGAAGAACGATCCTCAACGCCGACGATACTCATCCTCAACTATTCTCACCTTCGACCATGCTCCGCCTCGATCTTTGAGGGTGAGCATCTTGGGCGTCGACAACCCTCGGCGTCCATGATCCTCTGCCTCAACGATCCTCTGCGTCAACGATCCCTGGCGACAACGGTCCTCACCTTCGACAATCCTCAGCCCCCACGACCTTCCCCCTCAACGATTTTCGTCAACGATGCCCGGCGACAACGATCCTCACCCTTAAAAGACCCTTGACGATCCTCGACGCCAGCGATAGTCACCCTCAACGATCCTCCGCGTCAGAAATCCTCAAGGATCGTTGAAGGTGAGGCGTACAACGATTTTTGGCGAAAAAGATTTTTGGCGTCAACGATCCTCGGCATCAACGATCCCCGGCGACCACGATCCTCACCCTCAAAGATGAAGAACGATCCTCAACGCCGACGATACTCATCCTCAACTATTCTCACCTTCGACCGTGCTCCGCCTCGATCGTTGAGGGTGAGCATCGTGGGCGTCGACGACCCTTGGCGTCAATGATACGATCCTCTGCGTCGACGATCCTCTGCGTCGACGATCCTCTGCGTCAACGATCCTCTGCGTCAACGATCCTCTGCGTCAACGATCCCTGGCGACAACGGTCATCACCTTTGACAATCCTCAACCTCCACGATCTTCCCCCTCAACGATGTTCGTCAACGATGCCCGGCGACAACGATCCTCACCCTTAGAAGGCCCTTAACGATCCTCAACGCCAATGATAGTCACCCTCAACGATCCTCCGCGTCAAAAATCCTCAAGGATCGTTGAAGGTGAGGCGTACAACGATTTTTGGCGACAACGATCCCGGCGACAACGATCCCCGGCGACAGCGATCCTCACTCTCAACGATGCTCGACGATCCTAGACGCCAACGACACTCGCCCTCAACTATCCTCGTCAACGATCCTCGAGGATCCGATCCTCGACGCCAACCAACCTCGGCGTCAACGATCGCCGACGACAGCGATCGTCACCCTCAACGATCCTCCTCNACAACGATCCCGGCGACAACGATCCCCGGCGACAGCGATCCTCACTCTCAACGATGCTCGACGATCCTAGACGCCAACGACACTCGCCCTCAACTATCCTCGTCAACGATCCTCGAGGATCCGATCCTCGACGCCAACCAACCTCGGCGTCAACGATCGCCGACGACAGCGATCGTCACCCTCAACGATCCTCCTCAACGATCCTCGAGGATCATTCACGTGAGGATCATCGAGCCCGATCCTCGGCGTCAACGATCCGGACCCCCAGCGACAACGATCCTCACCCTAAAACATGCTCAACGATCCTCGACGCCAACGATACTTACCCCCAACGATCCTCACCTTCAACGATCCTCCGCGTCAACGATCCTCGGCATCAACGATCGCCGGCTACAACGATTGTCACCCTCAACGATCCCCAACGATCTTCGACGCCAACGATACTCACCTTCAATGATCCTCCGCGTCAACGATCCTCGTCAACGGTCCTTGAGGATCGTTGAAGGTGGGGATCCATTAAGTCAATCATCGACGCCGACGAACCTCGGCGTCAACGACCCCCACCCCAACAACCCTCACCCTTTGCTATCCTCACCCACAACGATCCTCGACGCTATCGATGTTTATCTGCGCTCAACGGTGCTTACTGTCAACAATGTTCAAACATGCCAAACGATCCTTGACGCCAGCGATGGTCACTCGCTTTGTAGTTGTGCTCAACGTCGCAAGGATCCGCGACGCCAACGATCCTTGACACAAGCGATCCTCACCCTTACCGACAGTCGACGATCCTCGGCGTTAACGATCCTCACCCTCAATGATCCTCGACACAACAGTGGTTATCGGTGCTCAACGATGATTTCTCTCAACGATGCTCCAATAGGATACTTCCTGTCAACGATGCTCAAACATCCATAACGATCCTTGACGCCAACGACCCTCACCCTCAACGATCTTGGACGCCACCGATGCTCGATGCCAACATGATCGACGCCAATAAAGCTCAACCACAACGATGCTCAACGTTAAAGATGCTCGACGTCAAGACGTCAACGATGCTCATCAACTACCCTCGTCATCGACAATGCTCAACGTCAACTATTCTCGACATTAAAGATGCTCGAAATCACCTGATACACTCGACGCCAACGACGCTTCATCATGGACATGAACAATGCTCGACGCCACTCATGCTCGACCTCTACGATGGTCGACATCAGCTGATATTTGGCATCAGCAATAGTTGACGTTGAACAATGCTAGACGTCAATTATGCTCGAAATCAACTGGTGCTCCACATGTTCGTCAACGATACTAGACGCCAACTGATGCTCGACCTCTACGATGGTCGACATCGGCTGATTCTCGGCATGAGCGGCGCTGAATGTCACACGAGGCGCTTTCGTGACAAGTCGACGGACCAAGAACGCCAAACAAGCGCGTTGAAGCAGATATCAACACGACCGGGCTTGATTGTTTCGTGGATGCGATCGTGTTCCTCTCAACATTGTGGGGCACTCGTAACAAGCACGTTCGTGTTGAAAAGGAACAAACAGATTTCCAGCAAGCGGAGGGGCGCAGCAGATCACACAAGAAAGGCGTGCGTGGTGCAGCATAGACATTGAGGCGGCGGGAATATCCGCAGTCACGATCAGCTGGTCTGTGGTCTGTAAGTCAACGAACCGTGCCTTGGGTATCCGAGACTGCCAAAGTTCATGCCTACAATTGGAGTGCTTCAATGACACACACCCAGTCGGCATGTCATCGACACCGCCTGTGTGTTATTTGCGCCATTGCAAAATCGTTTGTGCTCGGGCACACCTTGCTCTGGTGGTTGCCGCGGGATCCTTGTATCATCCTTCTGAGAGGCTGGCAGGAGGCACATGGGTGCACTACCACGAGTGCTCGACGACCGCCAGGCATCCATGGCACTGTGCCCAACGCCTTATATCGCCGCGACTGGCTTATAGTCATGGGCATTCCGAACCACAAAAACCTTCGCAGGAAATAAAAGAGAAACGTACACAAGTTTTCTCGCGCGATTGCATCAGCTGGTCGTCCGGTCCTGCACGGCCTGCTTCACGTCACAAGCCACCACAGCCATTAGCATGCGTGATGTGCGGGATGTACCAAGTGAATGACATATCATCACAATCCTGCTGGCGCAGGATGAAAACAGAGTACCAACTAAAGTGGTTCCGCATTTCGGGCAATACGTAAAACGTATACTTCCTCTGTATCATAAGTTAGGGTACCTAAATTTGTACGGGCCCTTAACCGTGTCCGATCTTCGGAGTTTTTTTAGCAAGAAACATTTATTTTATTTTATATGCATGCGCCACCCCGCGTGCATGAGCGCCCGAGAAAAACCAGTCGGCCTGAAGAAGGCCGCATTTTGCATGTATTCTGCCCCCTCCGACCAGGCGGGGGGGCGGGGCAATGACAAAAACAAGGCAAAAATACCAAGAATTATCCCTGACCCTAAACCTAGCCCCCCCTCTACTCAACGATCCATGACGCGTCCCCCAAACTAAACACAGCATAATAGTGGCCCCCACACTGAAAACAAGACACTTGGGGGGACCACACTTAAACCAAGACACTTACGGGGCAAAGCAAGCAACAGTAGGGCCCTCATCCAACCCCCCCCTCTACTCAACGATCCATATCGCGCCCCCTATACTAAAATCAGTATAGTAGTGAACCACACTAAAACCAAGACACTTGGGGGTCACACACTAAAACCAAGACACTTGGCGGGTCACACTAAAATCAAGACACTTGCGGGACAAAAAGAAGGGTTGGTTGGTGGCGGGGAAAAAAAAGAAAAAGTCGACAATTCTTCCTCATCATCACTTGGACTCGATGCCGCCGCAATCTTTGAAGGGGTGAGAAGCGACGGCCGCCCACTTTGCTTCGTTTGAAAGGTCCAGCTCCTGGGTGTTGTCGATCTGGGTTTTGACCCGTTTCCACAACTTGGACGGGTACTTCTTTCCAACACCGTAGCGTTCGCAGATCGGGTCAAGCACGCCCTTGGGAATCCTTGACAACCCCGGCTGAATGCCCATCGCAATTTCTACCGCCATGGCATAGCGCCTACCAACCGATAATTCGGTGCCCCTTTTGCGAGGTGGTGTGCTGGGGGGCGATTCCATCGCTAGAGTAGGGTAGTAAAATGGATTTGAGAATTTTGTCGAGAATTCTCAAAAAATATCCCAAAATATTTTCTCAAAAATATTCCCAAAACAGGCCAAAATAGGGTACATTTTGACCAATAGTAGATACAGAAATAGATGTTCGTTTTTTTTTAATTTTTTTTCCATCGCTTCTTCTTTGTTATATCTTTCTTACAAACCCGACTATGCTACCATCACTAACACGGTTGCACCCAGACAATCTATTGCATTTAGGTACCCTAACTTATGATACAGAGGAAGTATAGGTTCCCCGTAACAAGGGCGTGACTTCATGCTGCGACTAGTGCCGAGACCAGAAAACGTGATTTTTTCTCAGTGGAGATCGACGACGGCCGCCTCTTTTGTCCCACAGGTGTTCCAGCGCAAAACGATGGATCTTCACGGCCTGCACGTGGCTGAGGCCGTCGAGGTGCTCGACAGGGAGATGGGGGCGTTGGCGGCGAGGGGGTTGTGCAGTGTGAGAGTCCTGACCGGCACGGGACATCACAGCAAGGGACCCACCAACAAGGTAACACACCAGGCTTGTGTCACTGGTGAAAGGGATTTCTCCGGTCGCAGTCGGAAGTCGAATCGTGCGCTTCTTGCGGCACGTGGTTTTCTGCCGATGGTCGCGTGTGTCTGCGTTCGCTTGGTTGCTTTCTATTTTTCGAGGACAATCTGCACATGCGTCTAGGACGGCGAAAGCATTTTGATTTCCTGTGGGGTATCCCAGCATCAACTACATTGGTTATTGTCTAGGATTGTTGACACTGCACCTGTCCGTAGTTTGTGTTCGTACGGTTCGAGTTTTATTCAGCTCACTTTCTGCATTGCCAATTTCTCAAGTGATGATGCTGTACTCCGGTATGTTGTCCATCCGGATCACCTCACGAGTTCTTCGACATCGAACAGCATTCGCTGATGAATACGGGCATGATCACGCCCCCCTCCACCCGGCCGTGCGTGCATGCACTGCCGCGCTTGAAACACGTTAACAGGCGCGTCTTTTGCCAGCGGTGGAAAACTTTTGCTTGATTCGCGGTTATCTCTTCAGAAAGGTACCGGATCAAAGCACCGGCCACGTCGGGGCGATCGACGTCCAATTCGCGGAACTGTCGGAACACTCGACAGGAGGATGGGGTTAAGGTTGCGCTGTCTTCGACCCGTCGTGGTGGGGATCATTATTCCGCGACGAGAAACGAAGCATGCCTGACGAAAGCAGCACAGCGACAAAAGCAGTACGTAAATAGTGAGAGTGATCGCACACACCCTAGACTGAATTTCAGAGCTTGATTGCTCGACGGTTGCGAAAACCGGTCGATGCGAACGAGGAGGGCTCTCGACGAGGTCTCTCCAACGTCGCGACGGCACCGTCGTGGTTATCGGGTGTAGACAAATCTACCGATGAACTCTGTGTGCGATATCCCCCACTTGTCCGGAATACGGAGTGAACGATTTCTTTGCATACGTATCTCGACCCCAAAGCCTGAGTTGATGTATGATCTGAGATCCCTGGGGTGTTTTCATGAAGATGCAAGACACGACAGGGGGGCGTAGGGGTGTCCTTGATGACCTAGGAGAAATTTCAGATAGTAGTGGAGTTTCGATTTCCGTTTTCATCGTCACTCAAGGAATGCTTGGGTTTGACCCCAAGGTCTTACATGTACTGTGTAGACTAACCGTGATCCTAGGGGTTGTTTGGAAGTCAATTTTGTGCATAGCTTGGTCCGAAGCCCCACTCAGGGGAGCTATGCTTCACTGTGTACTTGCACACCACCCAGCAACGAAGTGTTTGATGGCTGTAACATTTTTGCCGTGTTCAGTTGAGTTTTGAGCGCGACCCAAGCGACATGACGATGTATTTTAGCGGTCATATCAGGCTGTTATCCGTGCCATCCGCAGACGGTCATGTGTACGTTGGTTTGTCCGGGAAGTTGTTAGTCTAGTAGGTCAGTCTGGTAGACTACATTCTGGAAATGTCTGGAACGCACACTGCTGTATGTCGCCTTGGGAGAATATTCAGCTTTTTCGATTGTCTTGACGTCGCAAGTCATAGACTCTTGATAGCCTCTCTGTGCACCCCTATCAAGGTCTGCATGAAAGAACGTACGTTGCCGTAAAAAGCAGATGATAGCAGACCGAAGCCTAGAAGGTGAAGAACATGTGCAACATACCGGTTGATTTTTGTGGTGTGAAGGTTCCACACGATGCCATCAACGTGACGAGATGGATTCATCCTGACATTAGGTGAAAATTACAGGGTCAACGAGACTTGCGGTGGAGACGGTGCCGGGAGCGAGATATGCAACGCAGCATGCCCAGGGTTGTTGCCGAGACCATGCACGAAATGACGTCGCCGGCCCTCTCGCACGCTTCAACTATAATGAAACTTGAAGCTGAAAGAGGGGCAGGGGGGAAGGCTCGTGATTCCATTTACCATGAGCAACGGTACACAACCCCAGAACGCCCACCACAAATGATCAATCTCCCAGGATTGCTGTATCTCCGTTTGGATATTCCAAGCGCGGGGGAGGGAGTCTTTCCATAGGCAAGTCTAGCTTGTCAGAGAGCCGCAGACGAGTCCATCCATGGTGGATGCTTGTCTTCAGCCCTCGTGGTGCAGTGCCAGCCGCTGCCCGCCGTCCAGACCATTACGTGACATGAGCTGTTTTGTATCTTAGACGCCCCGGTGGATCCATCGACAATGCCCTGGTGCAAGGAAGCTCATCGATACCGCGGTAGCACAGAAACGCTGTATGTCAAGGTTATCAGCACACTTGGGTGCGCGCTCTCTAAAAGTGGCGTAGAGACACCAATACCAAATATGCCTTCCGCGTTACGTGGTTCCTTCTCCGCTTCCGCTGCTAACGATTCGAACGCTCATTTACGTGGAGCAACTCGTCAATTTACCTGGGAGGCAACGAAGATATCGACACACCATCTGCATCGGTGTACACGGTGTCGCGATCAACGTAGGAGCCAACAAACATGCAGATATGCTTACCAAATCTCTACAACGCGTGAAGAAATCTACCAGAGCACAGACGTCAGCAAAAAGGGTGACCTCAGCGCACTATCTATTCGTGGTGGAATCCTTTTCCAGTACATGGGTCCTTCGCCCAAACGTACGTCCGCCTCGAGGGTGGCCGGCACAGGTGGTTTCCGTCTTAAAAGAAGTGAAAGGCACCGCATCATCAGCGTCAACTCACGGTGCATTAACAGCAAATGCGGGGTTACGGCAGCAAGGAACATCCAAGAATAAGCACGGTATGAAGCACCACAACAAACTCTAGTCTGGATGGTCCAATCGCGCAACCGCACTGCTGCCAGTACAAGCATGGCACTAAGCGACACACCAGGTTATGCTACTTTTGTGATTTTGCCCTATTTTGTCCGCCGCCGCGTGATACGAGAAGAACAGGTGCCCGTGTGATAGCCGGTCCTTCCCACCATGTGACACTATTTCTACCTCACAGAATGACAACATAGAAGTGAAACAATGCTCACGTGAAGGAAAGAGGAAACAAAAGCAGATTCCACCCCCGTCGACAGCCTCCATCAAACCATTTTTGGCCTGTTGCGGCCTTCCGATACCAAGTATGTGCCAACGACAACCATCGACAAGGGGTAGTGTCGACCATGGCACAAGCATGAAACGTGCAGCTTCCAGCAATCAACCGCATTATCAGCTTTCAACCAGTACCACCTGCAGAGAAAGCCTTTCCTATGCGTGAGATGTATCATAGCGACCGCTGATAAACGTAGATCTATCCCATCGCGCCAAACTCCCACAGATCAGCGGTTCGCTGTGACAACGCGTTCGCCCACCGCCCTTTCCTCAACACTCCACAGCGAAGGTAGGATCGCGACAGCTTCCGGCACGCTCATGACAAGCCTCTCCAGAGCGAGACAACAGTCCAGATTCTGGCTCGCGATTAAACAGGAGTATACGTTCGACACCATCCCATCCAACCCACAACACCAATCAAAGAGGTAGGTCGATCAGGGGGGCAAGCCGCCTGCGCCTGCGGCGAACCCCGCGAGCAAGAACGAACGGCCAGCCTCCCGACCGAAAACACTTCGAAAAAAAAAAACAGGAGACAACGAAGGGATCGTCGTCCCCAGACAGACTAAACTATTACAATACGCAAGGAACATTTTGAAACCGAAAAAATAGATTCAAGCCGGCCAACTAAAGCTCCTAACCGATTGCCGGGATGCCCAATCCTCTCCGTCACGAACCCTAAACCGGGCAAGGAGATTCCGGAGCCCACTGACCCAGAACAACATCTACTCGACCAACGAACGGGCCAATGGCTACAACGGGTGGACGTGAGCAAGATTCTCCGTGGCGACGGGTTTTACTTTCCCTCAACGGCCTTGATGATGTCCACGAAGTCAGGCTAAAAGGGGGTCCAGCAGAATCGAGAACCACGACAGGGAGGTTGGGGGTGGGCGAGGAAACTTAGCGGGTGGGCCAGTGTTTGGGCCCGACAACGTCAGTTTTTCAGAGAGGAACAATTGTGAAACGATAGTCGCCTGTCGCCTCTCGTTCTACAGCTCCAAACGAAACAGGAAGGCAATTTCTTTCTGAAGTGGAATGTACAACAAACGCGAAGCTTCCTCGATGACTGCGTGCGTGAAGACCCTATCCGATTTCATTCGGTGTCTTTGCCGCACCAACCGGGTTCACACAAGAAGAATTTCTCTCCTGTTCCTGTTGCAGTGCCTGCGATACTGCGGTCACGCCGCACATGGCATATTTGCTTGGAAGCATCCATTTAGTTAGCGCTGACCAACGACATTCTCATATCCCTTTCCGCACCTTAAGGCTGGCGCCGCCCACGAGGAAGCCATCGATGTCTGGGCACGTTGCCAGTTCTGCCGCGTTGGAAGACTTCACAGAGCCCCCGTAGATGATGCGGAGAGACTGGTCGGGCCGAACCGCAACAAGAACCAATCACAAAATCAACAACGTTAAGGATCGTATGACACAGAAACTTCGACTAGAGATCCACAGGCACACCGGGAAAAAAGCCACCAGGTTTTACCATGTATTCCCACCGCAGAAGAACGAAAAACAAAAAACAACAACAACAAAAAAACAACGAAAGAACGCTCCGAAGAGAAAAACGTACGAAGTACATGTTCTTCGGTGTAGATAATGGACTCGAGGCCCAATACTACTCGACACCAGTCGATCTGATCTGACGAACAACACTATTGTACATGACCCATCCGAGAAGGTCGCGTCTGTCCTGTCCTATCCTGTCTCACCTCTGCGACCTCGGGGGAAACCTTTTCGCCGACCCATGCGCGGATTGCGGAGTGCACCTCTTGTGCCTGTTGGGAACGAAACCGTCAAACGCAGTTCCTTTGGTTCAATGTCGTCATCATCGATAAGGCGCACAAAAACCAAAGCATCAAAACGTTTTCTTTGGTTCAATGTTCTCATGAACGATATCTCAGCGCAAAAAAATCGGAGAGGGAGATAATAAAACCAGGCTGCGGCATTGCATGATCACCGTTGGTTTGGTTTATCCGGTCCATCCAGCGACCACAGCACAGAATCGGACTTGGCGACGTGTCAGCTAAGGCATAGCCGCAGCAAACAGCACTGTAATAGTTCATCTGCTCCTGTAGCGCCGCTAAATCCATGAATGGTTGTTTCCGGCCTGCAATCGTGAAAAGGGACAACTAAAATAACCCGAACAAATAGGACTTGTCTACAAAAACCTAGATACAGTAGGTGTCCCGCTATAGTGCCGGTACGTGCCTCTGAACAGAGGTCTAACCGACACTACAGCATACCGGACACTCGCAGTATTCAGAACAGTAATATCTAGGTTTTAGTATTGGAGCGGACACTCGTGCCCACAGGAATGGCCGGCACTAATCGGGATACCTAATGCTGTAGATGGTCACACCAGTGGAAGGGAACGTGGGGGCGAGAGGGTTCTGTGTACACCAGTTTTACTTGAGTCGATGACCGAGAGACGCTACAGCGGCGGATCCATGGCGGTTCGCTCAAACCCACCCACAGCGTGACGCTTGCTTTCATAATTTCGCCATCTCCAGGGAGCTATACTTCCAATGATCTGCTGACGCCCTTTCATCATTGGTTTGACGCAATGCCGCTATGCATACGCCAATAGAGCCGGATAGCGCGGCCACTGACACATGACAATGAACGAAGCAAACTCTAAACGGCTAACGTACTGTTTCTGGTTAGCAGCTTAGCAGCGCGGTCGATGGTAAACATGAATGACACACAGACACACCCACGCCGACTCGAAAATAAACTAAATAAATGAATTGCTTTCATGCTAACAAACGAAACATGTTCCTAACATGCTCCTAACATGCTAACATGCAAATGAATACGACACAACCACCCACCTGTGCGGGGGATGCGGTGACGCCGGTGCCGATGGCCCAGACTGGCTCGTACGCTACAACTACCCGGGACCAGTCCTCCTCCTCGAGGGTCTTCAAGAAGGCCGCCATGTGGTCTTCCAGCACCAGCTGCAAACCATTAATCAAACAATGAACCGATTAACGAAGTTAATAAACTAACAACAAACTTACCAGAAAATCAAACGGTTGACTAATCCAACAACCGACCAGTCAAACACGACTGGAAAAAGAGATCGCCGTGTAGTCTTCCAGCACTACCTGCAAAAAAATTAAACACTCGGAACAACCAAACAATCGAAAACATGATCGATCCAGTCCAACACCAAAAGGCACACAGGAGAAGGTGCGACACGAACAGCCACATACACGCCACAAATCGTTTTCGAGAGCAACTCACGAAGTGTGGTCGCCACCACTGTTGTTCTGTGGGACATCAACACACTGAATTCATTTCAGTTTTACTCTGAAGGGTAAGACTTGACTGTCGTTGAATTGAATCGTCAAGAGCGGCAGCATAGCAGGACGAAAGGCCGAGAGAGCTGGCCATGACCCCCCCCCGTTTCAAGCGACGATACGATAGGAGAACCGAGGAGGGGATGACTCGACACTTTGCACACACCCAACGTAAGACCAACAACATGCAACGGGTAACGAATAGTGGGAAAGGTGGGGGGGGGCTCGCTATATCGTTGAATCATCACTGGCTTCTAAAAACTTTATCTGTGTGGCCTACAAGCAACTCATCGGAAGGTACTTTGGAACGAATGAGAATCCTTGAGAGGGGATTCTTGAGAGCAACTGCAGCATACGGCATGTTGTCTGATGTAGCAAAACAGAACACGGGCAAAGGTGAAAAAAGAGTGACACGAAACAAAAAAAAAATGCACCTCGAGGGCAAAGCATATGGCATGCTGTCGACAACGTACAATACGAACACACAGACAACTGAGACTGAACAAGACGTGGGCACCTCAAGGGTTTGGTTGGCCTCCCGAACTGCAAGGCTTTCCCCGATGCACATGATCACGTTCAGCCCGCAGTCCAAAGCCACCTGAACACACAAAAATTGGGGGGAGGGGGGGTGTACTCATAGTCGTGCCATGCCGTAGTCGTTAGCCGGGGGGAGGAGGGGGGGATTTTTAGACAGATGATATACAAGTACTGTTAGGGGTGTCAAAGCGGAAAATTTCCTATAGGAAAAAATTCGAAAAAGCGTCCTCGGATCTTGCTGATGGAAAATCGACCAACCAATGAAATTGCACGGAACCGTCGGAACCTCCCGAAAAGACCCTCTGACGCACACGCGCGACGGCGCGGCTCGCCTGTGTGCTTTGCGCCCTGCTATGGGGTACAGCACAACACCATTGCGCGGTCCCACTCTAGAACACATGCCTCATGACACACCCGAGCAGCAGCCGGGCGGTGAAGCCACGCAGACACCTGCCGCCGCCGCTGCTGCCGCTGAAAAAAACAGCAGCAGCAGCAGCAGCGGCGGCGGCGGCGAGGTTGAGCCTGGCTCTCTTCCACAATTTTCTTACGTTTGACCAACTCCTCCTTCGTTTCCTCCAGCGTTCTCTACGACGGTGAGGCTGCCGCGTTCCATAGCGCGCCGCGTGTTATCTTCTGCTGACGTGGCAACCATACACTGCCCCGTCCTCGCTTCAAACTTCGTTTTGTGTTGATTCAGCTTTCGCGCAGCGCACCTCCTGCTGCCGAACGGCGTGGACCTCGATTTTTTTTTTTGGAGGGTCTGCTGGTGTGGGCGCCGCAGCCCCACTGGAGGGGCCGTTTTCAGACATGTAGATCTCGTGGTTGGCTGATGCGATTCGGATGCGGTTTGTTGTGTGGTATAGCTGTAAACCCAAGGTAGAGGGCTGTAAGCTCGCTTTTTCGAGAGGAGCAATGGTCGCCTTGGGCGTGGAGCAAACAGCCCAAAAAAACATGTTTTTTGGTGTTGTTCGTCCGCCCTTTAAGAGAAAACCGAGCTTACAGTCACCTCTATTGGACCTGTGTCCAGGTGTGTGTAACGCATGAAGAGCCATGCTGCTGTCTGGACGCAGAGCTGCCTGTACAAACAAATTGACTTGATGTATAGTTTATTCAGTATTAACAGCGGGATTCTCAAGAACCAAAAAAAGAACCAAATCCGCGTGCCCCCCTCAAATTTTGCCGAATGGACCGGACATTTTTTTTGCCCCAAATTCCGCCGCTTTAACACCCCTAACTTGTAGCTCCGGTTTCGTTTTACAAAAAACTGGGAAACAGTTTCCAAGCACGGTAGAAGCGCTACTGTCATGCCAGGACACACGACGACCAAGCTGATGGAAAACGACCCACCAAGCATTCCTCGCCGTGCCGTTCTTTTGGGGGCATACAGGCAGCTGTGCCAGAGTGAATCAGAGCGGGCATTCTCCAGCCTCACACTGGACAAAGCTACAGACCTATTCCGCTCAGTCCAGCCCGACGTTATTCATCATAGCCTGTCCACGTAAAACACAAGCTTTGCGCGCAAAACAAAAAAAGCTGAGTGCGTTCTTGAGACGTAGACTTTTCAACTCTGAACCACTTTATTTTTGTCACCTCATTCCACCAGAAACCATGACCACTTGTCATCTCTCCCCTCCCCAACTCCAGAGAAAAGGGCCACACAGACAGCAATTCTTGTGCCACAAAGCGTTCTCCACAGCTCCTGTCTTCCTCCAACGCACTGCACCCCTCCCCAAACTCTTATCCACCGTTTGCAACATATCACTAGCTTGGTATGCATACGATTGGCTGACATCGGACAGACCTCGGCATGAGGAATGATTTGGCTGGTGACGATAAAAGAGAAAATTGCCTTGTTCCTGAGCAAGTTCCCTTCAACCGAGCCCTGACCAAAATATCTACTTGCAAATAAATTTTGTGAGTTCTAGGGATGTTGCTGAGATATGCGGCAGGCAGAGTTTCCTCCTATCTTCATAAGGTCAAGCTATGTAGCTTGGATGAGCAATCAGGGTTCGAGAGAAGCTAAGCAAGCGTGTACGAGACGCGATTTCTGAGATGGAAAGGAGACTGGAAATAGTGCTTGCTTGGAAATCAGCGGGGTGGGAGGAGGAACGCACGGCAGCTATCTGCACCGCTTGCTTTCCCTATGAATTGGGGCATTTTCTTTTTTGTGAACAGACACAGATGACTATCAAAGAAAGGTAACTCACGTCCAAACCGTTGAAAACATTTGCCTGCTGCGGGGGGGCACCGGTAGACACAGCGCGTCGCAGACCCGAAAAACGTAACCCCACAAATTATATTTCGCGGTGATTGTACGCTATAATAAAAACAGACCGATGGGTGCGTTGAGCGAAAACCACGCCATGTCGTTGCCGCAGTGTGACGCCAGTATGGTTTTTAATACGCTTATGGAGCTCTGACATCAATTTTGGACATATCCTTGCTCCAAACGGCCCTCGAGAATTTCGCCATACATGACATGAGAGAAGTTGAAGTTTCTCTTGTTGAGCACTTCCGTCATAAGAGAAATTTCTCCAAAAACGTAGCAAGACGAAGTCGGATAGCAAAGAACGAGTTCGGCCTGTCACGGCTTGTCTAATATCGTCGCCGCCACTGTACCTTAGACTTTTCGGCGACAAGGTCCGAGCTCTCTCCCGCGCAGCCGAAACCAACCCGCCTCTCCGAGTGTCCCGTGATCACCTGCCATCACCATATTACAATATCACAATATCACACTATTACAATATCATAATATTACAATACCACCATATCACGCTATGACAACATCACAATATTACAATACCACCATATCATACTATTACAATATCACAATATTACAACATCACCATATCACACTATTACAATATAACAATTACAACATCACCACATCACACTATTACAATATCACAATATTACAATACCACCATATCATACTATTACAATATCACAATATTACAACATCACCATATCACACTATTACAATATAACAATTACAACATCACCACATCACACTATTACAATATCACAATATTACAATACCACCATATCACACTATTACAATATCACAATATTACAATACCACCATATCACACTATTACAATATCACAATATTACAATACCACCATATCACACTATTACAATATCACAATATTACAATACCACCATATCACACTATTACAATATCACAATATTACAATACCACCATATCATACTATTACAATATCACAATATTACAACATCACCATATCACACTATTACAATATCACAATATTACAACATCACCATATCACACTATTACAATATCCCCCCCCCCCACCACGAGCATCGCGGCGGGCAGAAATTATCGATATCAGACGGAGAGCAGCCGGTCGCATACACTAATGCCACCAAATAGCACGGTAATAAGATAGTCGGGAACGCTCGTGAACAGGCAGAAGTTCGATCGGAACGCCAATGTAGCGACCACCCACGGATACATGCACGCTATCATGGACCGTACAACAATTTTGTCCTGGGCAGAAGGAGCGCCCCCGGCAGTTGCCGAGGCGGACAAGAGGTAGTGGTTTCACAAACTGCTGGAAATCAGAATCATCGCCCTGAAAAAAGACCGCGTGCTAACAGCTACCTCCAGGCGGGACACATAGGTTCGGACAGCACAAGCCCTATTTAGGTCAAGCATACGTCGTGAAAACTTGCCAGATAGGCACGCCATCATCAGCCGGGACAAACTCGACGACACAAGTACTAGTGCTCGCGGCATTCCCACGTAAGCCTCGACCGCATTGATCCGGGGAGCGCGCTATCGCGCAAAAAAGAGGGAACCTCGACAACTGCACATAAATGATGGGCACCCCGTCTCACTTGCCGCTTGTCCTACTGTATCTCCACACTGCCGCTGTGTCTACCATACAAAGGTACCCGTCCAGATGCATGGTTTGAAACTAGTGTGCGGCGCTTCGGTAGCTCATTGTTGAGCGTCTCACCCACTCGACCCCGAAGTCTTTGATCATGGAAGCGCAGAGCTCGCCGGTGAAAGCTCCAGGCTTTACGTTCTTGCCAACGTTCTGGGTGGACACCTGAAAAGAAATGCGGCACAACACACCAGCTTGGTTGAGGAAACAAGGGCAGGGCATATATGTCGTGTCAAAACTGCCCTGAAACATGCACTACCGCCTGCACACGCCGTTCACGCCAGCACGTGAGGCTGGGGACCAGTTCAACCTGTAACGGAAGTGTTGGGTGGGAGCAGCTTGACAAAGGTGCGCCCCATACAAAAAAACTCGCCACGTCAAGCAACAACCATCATCAACAAAAAAAATAGAGCATGTTTGATAAAGCATGCAATCGGCGAAGTTGGGTGAGTTAAAGGGTTAGGAACAGGGTCTGCGTATACCCTTCCCTGTTCTGGGTCCTAACAAAAATAATTTCTCGCGACGACGATCCGTCTTAAATGACCATCGACATGCTTTGGGAAATAAAGAACCAAGCGCACCCTTCCGCTTGTTGAGACTCGGCTCTAACGCATTGGCGTCGTACGCGACGCAGCATTGCCCAAACGCCTGCCCAACAAAAACGAAACCAACCACTCAGAAACCAACTTTACCTTGATGTCGGGGCGGATGGTATCCATGACGGTCTGGAGGAAGATGGACGGAGGTGCCACCACCACCTCGGCATTGTCGGGGAATTCCCCTGCGTCGTTAAGCACCTTCACCTGAAAAAGGAAAAAAAGCCAGTGCAACAACAAAACATTTGTTGGTGTGTAGAGAGCGATTTTCCCACTATTATTAATGGCAAGACAGCAACAACAACATCGTCCACAATAATTCTGATTCTTTGGCCAGCACCGCCGTATCGACTAGAACGCGAGCGTCTATCTGTCATCTCGCGCTTCCTGGATAAGGGTCCTGCTCCGCTTGTCCGAATGTACAGCGGTGGAGAACCACGAATTACCGACAAAAGGAAAACCATGAGAAATCATTACCATCCAGGTGCCTACGGTAGGCAGTATCACGCACCAACAAACGCAACACGTCGATGCATGCGGCTGTTTGTTGCTGCTGCTGTAGTGCGTCTGTGTCGGGGCGTGCCGTTCTAGCCCGTGCCTGCAGCACGGGGTGCCATGAGATATTACACCCCCTGGAACGATTTTCTAAGCCCGATTACTCCACAGCAGAGGAGAGTGGGCGGTGCCGAAACTGGCAGCGTTCGAATCATCTCGTCGAGGGCCGTACGAAAACGGATCGTTTGATATAGATATCACATCTTCATCGTGGAGTAATGACGTGGTTCAGGGGGTGTTGTATCTTACGTTACCTACAGGATGCACATCACATGCCCTGTCGCACATCTTGAGGCCCCAACGCCGGTCACCCCAGACTCGGACAACGAACACCGCCGCTGACCGGCGGCTATGCCGGAAAAAACAACGCCGGAATGAGTACACAGATACAATATGCGTACACAGCGCACGTATGCATACCCAACAACTTCACAGCGGAGAATTCGAGCCACCAGAGCGCTTGTTGATAATTACACGAAGCTTATAGTTGTGCGGAATCGACCACGAGCAAACGTTCCTCGTGCCATCTGGGCTCTCGAAGCGATGGTAAAGGTGGAGGGGGGTGGGGCTGCCGTGGAATGCGAGCGCGCCATGTTGTACATTTAGGGGGGGCAGAGAAGGGAGGATCATGATGTCACCATCTCCTGGCACAAGGATGAAGAGCGATGCGACCGGTCGAATGAGTTCGTCTACTCTGATTGGGCAGCCAAGGACCAAAGACGACCACGACGCCCATCACCTATAATAGACGGGATACAGCGTAACGAATTTGTGTGCTATAGAAAATACGGCAATGACGTGAGGTGTGGAACCACAACCGCGGCCGAGGAAAGCAGGGCTGAAGGCTGAATGCGGATGGAGATAGAAGAATGTGGATGCGTGCCCGCGGGGCGAATGCGATGGAGGTGGCAGCAATGCCGGAATCCGCGACAGCAGTTGGCCCAGTTCGGAACATCGGCGATGCCATGAACATCGAAGGCAAAGAGTACCGTAGGAGGGGAGGGGTGGGTAGGGGGCCTCAGGGAGAGCAACCCTTTTGTGTCATGTGACGATGTACCCGGCACATGCATTTTGAGCGCTGATTTAAAGTCAAGACAAAAATGGAGAAGTACTCCATAGCAGGTAGAGAGCATAGTCTAGTTTAGATAGGAACGATAAAACGAACCTCCGGACACGACAACTACCGGACAGATCTGCGGACTCATCTGCCGCGTAGATGAAGCAACGGTGCAGACTTGCTGTATCTACAAGCAGCACTTGTATGTATGTATGAATGTTTGGGCAAAATGGAACAACCTGTGGAGGATCGATCCCAACGGTCTGAACACCTGAAACTGAACTTCAAAAAATGTGCCGGTATGCGGAGAAACCTCTCTGAATTTGGAGGGTGGGTTCAGTCAACTGATCCATGATCGGATCGTGTAGTCTACTTGCTCAGCATGGCGATATTCCTTTGTACACAACGTAGGTGTGTGTGACTATACTCTTGTCGAGAAAGTATGGCGGCGACCACGCTGTGCAAAACCCACGCCGGCATCGTCGATCACCCAACCGGCAAACGATGCGCAGCAGGTGGCTGCTGTACATGTCAGGATACTCTTTTCTGTTGTTTGCGTGACTCACATTCCGTCCGTTGCGCCGGTGCTTCGCATTGCGCGAGCAGGCTCTGCTCTATGTGCGCAGAGTGCGGTGAGTTAAACACCACCTATCGCCCAGGTGCGAAGCCATGCCCATCTCCCGCACAACAACACTTTAAAAGCAGAGCATAACGGGAATGAAGCTCGGACTGCTACCGCTGCTGTGCAGAGTGACGGGAATCAGGGTTGATGGGTCGTTGGTTGAAAATGCAGTCAGCGCCAAACCGTGGTCCGTCCCCATCCCAACAGCCATCAACAGGCTGCCGTCCCTGTCGGCGGAGCATGAATCAAAGCGAGCCGACAGGCTGGGACCACACACAGCGCTTCTCGAGCAATTCCAGCGTTGCCATCAACCTGGGCTGCGGCGGTAGAGTAAACACCTGTGCTGTTGCGGTGCTGGTCTGTATCCAGTGTCGGCAGGCGTGTCATGCCAGAACAACCGAGTCCAACCAGCTGCTGTCGTGGGCGTCGACGCGCCGTCACCAGGATGACACACCGCCGCCCCCGGAGCACAGCAGCCAAATCCCTCTGCTTTGGGCACTCTTGCATTCGGCTACAAGCTAACAACGACGTCCCCGCGCCAAACAACCGCAAGAGCATACACTTCGCTGTACGCGCGGCAAGCGGGTGCGACAACTGCTGCTCCCTGCTCAGCTGGCCAGAGCCTACCAAAACTAGTACAGTACAAAATAGGAGGAACAACCTTGCAATCTTGAGACGCGTGCACAACGTCTCCGGTCTCCGCTCACCAATGCTGCCACATTCTCTCTGGTTCCGTTGCACTTCCAGTTTCCTCCAATCAGGTACTTGCGAGCCATGGTGGTGTAAGGGTGGTGTGTGAGTGGATGGAGTGGGGCTTGGTGGGGTGTTGATGGTTGTGTGTACGGGCAGAAGCGGGAGTGCGAGTGGTGTAGCGAGGGTAGGGTTCGGCGGCGAGAAATCGGGGATACGCAGACAATACATGAATGGGGATGCTTAGAGGCTCCGTGACCGAACGTGAGACGCTTGGTACTTGACTTGTCATGCAGCGTTAATGGAAGTGGACACGTGGACATGACCCTTGTGAACCTGTGTTTCCTCTGGAGCAGTATGCCACAGGCAGGGAAACCTACGCAATAAGTGACTTTCTGCACGATTCAGCGAGCCGGACACTCAGCTCCATCATTGAAGCAACTGAACCCCCAGATCCAGAAGTTGTTGTTGTTGTTATTGTTGTTGTTGTTGTTGTTGTTGTTGTTGTTTCTCACATTAGCTCTAGACTAGACTATAGTCCACAAAAATGGGGAGCCCATGGTCTCAAAACCCGGCACATACGACGCCGCGGGGAAACAAAACAAAAATAGGGTACAAACCGCTCGGAAAAAGAAAACAAAATGATAGAAAGAAAAGAACAGGTATGGCACCGACCGTTCAAGAAAAGAGCCCTCGGAAACCGATCAAGATAAGAGAAAAACAAAAATAAAGGCGGACGCTTCCCACACCCGCCCAAAGAAAAAATCAAAGGGTAACGTACCAGCACCAGGCACTACGCACCAGGGCATGGGAGTAACGGAGCAAACAGGACAAAGAGGCGGGAAATGGGCAGACAGCCAGACGTACAAAAGCAAAGGCAACAACTGCAAAAGCGAGATCAAGGTACCCAACACACACAGCAGGTAGGCAGGGAGGACATCAAAAAAAGAAACACAGCACAGAGGCCGAAGGCAATACAAAGGACACACATAAAGGAGTACAGCATACAGCACGGAGGGGAACAGGGCGCAACAACATTAGCCGGGTACACAGCGCAGCATCGCGAGGTGGAGAGCACTGGAAACGTTCTTCGAGGGCTATGTACGGCAGCTCGAGAAGAAGAGCCGCGAGGGGGATCAGGCGGGTTTCTACAGGCACCTGAAGATGATCGACGTCGAAGGTAAGAGGTCGTTCACCTCTCAGAGCATCAAGGACGAGGACGGCAAGGTCCTTCGGGACCCCACGTTTATTCGCCAACGGTGGGCACGGTGGTTCCACAAGCTTCTCAACACCAAGTCGACGACCATCGACCTGCATGCGGCTGACAAGGTCAAGCGGTGGCCCACGTGCGTGCCACTCGACGACATCCCATCTCTACTTGAGGTTGAGGAAGCGGTACGGGAAATAGCCAGCAGAAAGGCCGTCGGGCCGGACGACCTACCGGCTGAGCTGATCAAGCTTTTCCTGGACGGAGATCAAGGTCTCCTCCGCGAGTTCCACGCCATTGTCGTGGACGTGTGGCAGACTGGGGACGTACCACAGCAGTGGAAGGATGCCACCATCAAAGTGCTGTTCAAGAAGGGGGACACGATGGAGTGCGGCAACTACCGGGGCATCTCGCTCGTCGCACACGCCGGCAAGGTGCTGCTTAAGGTCGTCGCTACACGACTGAGCCACTACTGCGAGCGAGAGGGCATCCTCCCGGAGGAGCAGAGCGGTTTCCGCCCACACCGGTCGACGCTCGACATGCTGTTCGCCACCCAGCGGCTCCATGAGCCCGCGAGGAAGAAAGAGTACTGCGGTGTTCGCGTGCTTCGTCGACCTCACCAAGGCATACGATTCGGTGGACCGAGACCTACTGTGGGACGTGCTCCGACGCTTCGGCGTGCCCCCGAAGATGCTGGCGGTCATTCGCCACTTCCACGAGGGCATGAGGGCGCGCGTCCGAACGGACGACGGGCAGTACTCGGAATGGTTCGACGTGGGCCAAGGCCTCCGACAGGGATGCAACCTGGCCCCGCTGCTGTTCAACTTGTCTTTTGCCGCGATGCTCATGGTCGCCGTGGCCGAGTTCGACAAGGACCCCAANTCTCCAGGATTCGGGGAAGGGGGCCCACACATAGTAGCCTTTTTCAGGAATACGCATGATCCTGTCTACGTACCCCCCCCGTGCCCCCGTGCTGCTAGCAGATCTACCATGCTCGTATCCAGACACACGAACACCCTCCCCGGTTCGTCAAGCTGTTGACAAACCATCAGTGGGGCATGGATACTCCAGATCTACTTAAGTTACTCA